AGTAAATACTACGTACAGTCATGATTCAGGGGCTAAGCAATGGCCTCGTTACTGTGAGGCCCCAGGATAAAAATCGTGTCGATCAGCTATATATTAGTGCCCTTTTGTGAGGCATTAATCCTCATTACTGTCAATTATGACTTATGGACGTAGGTTCCTTAGCTGATTAGCATAGTAGCACACATATGATTAAGCAGTCACGCAAAACAAACACTTGCAAATTAATTTTCAATAAAATCTGAGAATGTATGCCATTATCTAGATCTATTAGAAATAAATATTTTTTTAAAATCCTTCCCTAAACTGGGGTAAAAATAAATATTCCACCATTATGACCAACAGTGTACATGCTATTATATCCCTTATCATAAGATTGTTGCATTAGGAGTGTCCACAACAAGAAAAAGGAATAGTTTTACTATAAAAGACGTTTCCTGCCGAATACATTGGAATAGTTCATTTTGTATTGCTGACGTCTTGAAAAGTTCACCCTTTTCGCGGTTAAAAAATGGACTTTTCATTTCCTACCCCCCCCCCCCCCACCCCTCCCCCACCCCCCCCCCCCCCCAAAAAAAAAAAAAAAAAAAAAAAAAACTGGCAAAATTCAGCTCAATAACATCATGTTCCTTCAATGCGAATAGTTTCAACTAGATCCTCGAGTGACATTGTGTATTTGTATAATAGCTTTTGTTACAAGCCTCCCGTCATTAATACAAAATAATCGTAAATTGCATGTAGGCCTATCTATAAGCCGATCAATGATGTACAGTCATTCCAAAGCAGGTTACTTTGTGCTGTCAAACACTTAACAATTAATAGATCTTTTAAAAATCGTGCAGTAGATCTTTTAAAAATCACTTGAGTGTACCGGAATGCCACATTTGGATAAATTATCGCTTCATTCAATATTAAAGACATGTATGCGCATATCGAATTAAAATTACACCCAGGGCAACAGGGCACAATGAATTTTTGTAATCCAGCTAAAAGTGAAAGTTAACAACGGATTCAGCCGAGGACGCAGGTTCGAAACTGAGTCACGTCTTTCGGATGGTGACGTTTAAAGGTCGGACCCCAGACTTAAATAATCATATCTGATTGATACACGTCTGTAAAAACCCAATGAACATCCAGGAGCCCGCCTTGGGGCCCTTGGTGGGGTCCATGGAGCAGAGCCCCCGGAAGTTCAGGGGTTTAAGGCATTTAATTACGGTCAGATGAGCATCTAGAGACCCACCTTAGAGCCCCTTTCTTCTTTTCTTTTTATTTCCCTTCAACATAATTTTTCAAAAAAGTGATGGGCCAGGGAGGGAGGGGGAATCGAGTTCAAAATTATGAAATGAAACATGAACCTACTGGAAAGAATAGTTTGTTTTTGTAGGTTCCCAAGAATACTATGAACATTATTTTCATAAATCATTTTAATGTGTGTTAAATATACAAAATGAACAGAATTACAAAACGGGACACAAGGACAGGAGACTGGCATAATAAGATAAGACAAGACATGACAAACAATTCATAACAGGACAAGATAAACAAGACATGACAGGACAAAACAAGACAAAAACAAAGCTGCACAATACAGAAATTAGAAGAAGAGAGAGAGTGTGAAACAGATGAAATGTGAAAGGTCTACCCATATCCCGGAAATTTAACCTGTAGGAGACATATATTTTTGTATTAAATTCTTTTTAAACCTCTACTAACACTATACTATGTGGGCTTATCTCTAACTGGATCTGACAGAGAGTTCCAAATACAGGAGACAAAAAAATCAACGAAACCCTATCCAGGATGTAATAATATAGGTAACCATTTGTAAATGTAAATCTCTTCATTTCTGTGTAATGAATCTGGGTTTTAAGTTATGAGGTCGGTGCAGGGGGCGAGGGGAGGGGGTCAGCCCTCTCCCAAAAATATTAAAATTAAATCCAAGAAACCGTCACCTAACATATGGTGAACGAGGTGGTACAATGAAACATACATTTTCACTATTAAAAAATGATGCCTCAAAATTGTTGCTCGCTCGCCAAATTTAGAAACTATATTTCTCATAAATTTGCAAGAGAAGACAGCCCCATACTACTTTGCCATTGACAATGAGCCTACATATTTCACATTTTCTCATCTTGAAGTTAGAAAAAGAATTAGATATTAAACTTTCTTAACTTTCTCACACCTTTCAAAAAATATTTATCCCCCTTTGGGTAACTCTTAGAGTTCTCAAGTTTGGATTATTATTTTCTGTCCAAATAATATGACTTTCAAATAGAGCTCTTATAGATATAATAATATAATAATAATAATAGCCTAATAGTCCACTCCAAATTTTATTAAACCGAAACGGAAATTCTTTTTGCCCAATTGATCGTGATCGTGAGCCCGGCAGCCACTGAGCAGCGCCAGATCGACGTTGCTCTATCCCTTATTGTTGAACGCCAAACAAGGTAGCAACAACTCCCATCTTTTAACGTCTTTTGGTATGACGCGGCCGGGGTTCGAACCCACGATCTCCCGGTTGTGAGGCGGACGCTCTACTGACTGAGCCAACACTCCGGTATGCAGCTTCCAAAAATCATTTGTTATTATATTATCATGATGTTCTTTCAAATGGAATACGATGTCACGAAAAGTTTACGGAGCGAAAGCAGACTGTGGCACATCTGCATTATCATTAACAACTTTAATATATATATTCAACAAAATAACGCCATGTGACCTCACATAATCCAATTTTTTTAATTTTCTGTTCTTACGATCCATCTATGACTACATCTCTCCTTCTCTCGCTCCTTTCTCTCATCAAGCTCAACAAATCTTTTCTTGACATAATATTATTGATCCCATAGACCCTCCGTTGCTCTTTCTGTCATCATGGCTTTTTCGTTTTGCCTATCCTCTAATTCCCTTTACAACTGTCTCTCTGTCTTCTTTAAATCGATATTAAGTTAAAACGCAAGGCGTATTAGCAAAATACGAAAATTAAAAAGATATACTTAGATTATGAGTTGACTTTATTGTGCAATGCATCATCGTTTGAAAAATAAATAGAAAAAATATAAGTTTTATTCAGTGGCACAGAAACAAAAGAGTACATGTTTGCGTATTCATACATACATTTATATACATCTTACAGCGTCATTAGACGGACATAATGTAGTGACAAAAATGAATCATTAAGTAGACATGGTCATTAGCAGGACATTTTCGTGTCCTGTTAGTGATTGTACAATAGAATTACTGCCCTCTACGTACGTTTGCAGGCAGAGAAAACTTAAAGGTCTCCCAAGAAACAATGGCCCGAATTCAGAAAGGAGGTTTGTCGACAAACCTTGGTTTTTCGTACGTCAAATGATGCGTTTTACGCGTTTTTTACAAACCTGGTTTCTAAAGAACAAAAGGAGGTTTGGCGAAACAAAAGGAGGTTTGAGCTCAAACCTTGGTCTGAGCTCAAACCTTGCTTTGTGAATTCGGGCCAATAGGTTTAATCATGAGTCATTAGTTTAATTAGTTATGAAGTTTTTAATCTAGGGTTATGTTTAGGGTTAGGGCTATGGTTAGGGTTAGGACAATATATCAGTCTTTATGATGTCCTGCTAATGTACAATTTAGGGTTAAATATAGAAGTCCTGTTAATACAACATGTAAGGTAATATACATATATATATATATACATATACATGTATATTTCATATCATTTTATCATTTTCTGAATTGATCATAGCTTCTGCACAATAAGGCTAACATTATTATTTAACAAATCGATATCCAAAACTTGTTTTTATTCTTTGCAATACTTTTGAGTTGTGAAAGTATTCTAGAAATTCTTCTCAATCTAGATAAGAAAATAATATATATATATATATATATATATATATATATATAATATACCGTCATGACCATAATAAATTGTGAAGAACGGGAAATATATCAATTATGTGGTAACTAACATCTGTGCAACATGCAGGTATACAAGTCAAGTCATTGTAATCTTGTTGACTTTTATTTTTTAAATGTTAACACTGCACGGAACAGTATTATTAAGGACAGATACAGAAGCTTTTTTGTTTTCGTATATTCAGTTGTTTTGTGTTAATGCGCATATAACATGCATACATATATTTACAGCATTTATTCAACCTATACGGTATAAAGTGGAGCATTCGATTCATTTTCCGTAAAAAATGTAAATTGTTATCGTTTTAGATTGGCTTTATTCTACCTCAATTTATCATTTTCTTTTCTACAATTTTTAACTTTCCATTCAAGTATTGAGATTGTATGAAAATCAACATGTTTTCGTAATTCTTTCCTATTTTAAACTTGTGTGTGAGAGAGCACGCACGTAGTTAAGACGAATTGAGAACAGTCCAGGACTATTTTGGTGGTACCTTAAAGACCGGCAATACTACTGAGCTAGAAGGGATTAGACCACACAGCGAGGTCACTGACAGGTGGCTATCTCATTAACTCAGCTCTCAACTAACATAAGAAAAAGAGGATCATGGGGGACCAACAGGCACCGATTGGGGAAGTTTTCTATATAGAGGGAGCAAGTAGCTACGAGTAGGACAGTGGGGCTTTAAAGAGTTCGACGGTACTTAATACAAAACAAATTGGCAGAAGGCATACAATTTTACAGACTAAGAAGGTGGAGAGATTAAGAACATTGGGCCTGAGCCAGTGTTCGAGAACACTTGATCTGCTAACAGTTTATTCCCGAGAATGTCAGATGTCTATCTCTCGTTTGTATGAGCCTTTTTATTTGGGTCTCGATTGTTCGAGAAAAGAACGTCTGATCATGGCCAGTAAAATCCATGGTCTGATAAAGACTGTTCAGTGATTAATCCCTAGATGACAGGTTCTTGAGTAGTATTCATTGAATAGTCACTATGTGACATTTGTGTTTAATGCAGTCATCAGCTTGTTTGAAGCTCATATAAAGCTTTATTTAGCATGTTGCATGAAAAGGGCTTTGATGGGACCATTATGTATTTTTGTTGCGCGTCCATGTTGTAGCCCTGCTGAATTTTCATTCAACGTGTTCATTTAATGACCCATAATGCACATTTCCATTAGGCCCCTTTCAGCTATTTTGTAGCTCCCCCAAAGTTCAATGAAGCATTTTAGATAAGAATGACCTAAGATGCAGATGTTTTCATCTTGCATTTTTCTGGTGCGTCCATGTTGTAGTTCCTCTGAAGTTAGAAACATCGTGTTCATTAAATGACCTATTATGTTCGGAGCTTGTTATATAATGTTGTTGTCACCCATTGTGTAGCTCCTCTAAAATTCCATAACGCAAATGCATGAATCACTTAAGATACGATGTTCTTGTGTAATTGTTCATTTTTCTGGTGCACTCTTGTTCTAGCCCCCCTGTAGCTTCTTTGAGGGTCTTTAGTGAATGATCTTACACCAACAGTTGTCATATTATGTGGTTGTAAGCCATTTTGTAGGACTTCTCTGAAGTTCCATTGCGCATGTTGCTAGATCGACCTACGTTTTCGTACACGTCGTTTCCGTCGATGTCGAAACCCCTCTGAACGGTACGGAAGTCCACGGGATGGAGCATGAGAATGACAATGCCGTCTGCCTTCTTGATCATCTCCCATACCTATCAATTGGAAGAGGGAATTAGTTAACAATCTTACATCAACAGGACGCAGGATGGCTTTGTTATGGAGCTGTAAATTAGTAATCGAGAAGTCCCGGGTTTTAAAGTAAGCCGTTGCACTAGTAAACTTTGGTAAGGCAATTTTGTTATTACCAAGACGGAGACGACTTAAAGCCGCCGGTCCCGTGGTCGTGTGATGACAATCATACACATGCTTTGTTTGGCAGCCAGCCGGTAAAACATACCAATCAAAAGACGTTAAAAAACCGCTATACCACAAAATAATCTAATGTACGAAAGCTTATTTTCTCTTGTGCCGCCAAAATCTTTAATTGATCTGGTACAATTCTTGTTATTTCCTAAAATGAACGTTTTTCTCGTTTTCTCATCTGGTTATTAATTGACATAATATTATTGTTTACATCACCAGAAATAACTCTCGAATATACCTTTCATCGACATGACTTTATGACCCTCTGCTTCTGTTATATTTTTTATATGAGTGACCCAATGGTCAAGTGGAGGCGATCTTATCAGATCTGCCTACCTGTTCCGTGGATGCATCGGGGTGGACGCAGTCAAAGTTGACTTCAGTGATGACGCAGTTGCATCTCAAGCCTGCACTGTTCAGACACGCGATATCGTTTGACTGTAGAGATCCTCTGCAATGAGCCAGACCCTTCGGAGATACCTGCTCAATCTGAAATGAGGATTTAAAAATTTAAAAAAATGACATCAAATTTTGGTAAATTTGTCTGTGGACTATGTGCAGGGGTCTCACCATTCACAAATGATGTCGGTTAAATTCTAAATACTTTTCTTCATTTTTTTTTCTACAAACCTGTCATGCCTGTCGGCAAGTAGGGATCACATGGGGTTGTTGCTTTGAAAGTGTGAAACGGAGGCACTTACCAAAATTATTCAGAAAATGGGACCCCTTTGACGATTAATTACATTTTGTTTATCGATGCATCAGTAAACTCCTTGGTCAGCCAAGAAAATATTTCATTAAAATAAACAATCGGCCAAAACCATATAAAATATTATTCCTAGTTTCTCGTCCAGATTTTTTTATGAGGAAGAGGAGCTTCCACTATTTATGTTCTTTACATAAGCTAATTATACCGTCGCATCACGTATACAAAATTTTGTGTACAGATATTAGATTTACTGTATATATGAACTATAGTGGCTCAAAACAAAGTGATAGTGTGATATAAAAAATGTTTGTGAACCTCATTGTCTAGATTTTCTTTTATTATTCAAAAACAAAAACATAAAATAGAAAAATGAGACGGTGGACAAAGTATACGAGAGGGGGAGGGATGTCAGATAAACTAGATTTGTTTAAGATTCGGCCTAATGTTTCAACCAACTGAACATGCTCACTAGAGGCCTGCGTATGGCTTACCTCGTTTCCGCGGAGTTTCAGCCCTATGTCGTCAACATTATTTGAAGTCCATGGGAAGTCACAGATTGCTCCAAACGGGATTCTCTTTAGCGTGATCTCGATCTGCAAAAGAGCAAACATTAGAACATTTTGTTGTCTTGGACCTAGATCGTTCGGCCCTCGGGAGGACATCGATCCGTAAGTTTCCTCCACACTGTGTTCTGCTTAGATTTTCCTCTTTTTTCGATTCCATCTTGTATTTTATCTTTTAGGTCATAATCTAGTTATATGAAGTTCGTTTCATAAAATGTAGAATTTGTGCATGAACTATATGAATATGACATAAATCCAATAATTTACGTTAAACATTTAACAATTCTGCCGGAAAGTCGTGCCATTAGTATATATGTCACTAAACTAAATCAAAGAAAAGGCAAATGAGTCAGTATCTTTAACACGATTAACTTAGACGTCCTTCATTAAAGATTTATTGTGCTGACGAATGATCATACTGATGTATTAATATGCAATATTTTGTGGAAAACATTCTCATTTTCTCATCTTACACATTGATGCAGGATTTAGCACAAAAGATTACCTCCGGTTTGTCTGACATTCGAACACAGTCTCGGGCAAAGTGGACGTTTTTCAGCATATTATCATTGACCTTCAACCACTGGTCACCTACCCGGAAGTAATCCTTGAGTTCGAGAGGAATATCCATAACTCTGACAAGGGTGAAGAAAAAAGAAATAATTAATTTCAGTTAAAAGACGAGGAAGTCAAGTTCTGTCAATGGAAACGATAGGGGATAAAAATGAAACGGGAGGGGAAAAAAAGCAAGAATAGGGAGAAAGGCAAACGGAGAATTGGACCCCACCACCACCAAAAAAAATCCTAATAATACTGTAATAATAACAATAAATATTAAGCTATACTCACAAAATACTGTCTCTGATTTCTTTGAGCGATAGCTGTGACAAGTTCCGAACGATGATAGTTTTGGCGACACGTACTGTAGCCGTCGACGATAGCTTCTCCTCTTTAAGTTTCCTATACAAAAGAAATTAGATGTCATTACATAAGTAATAATACTTAGAAACCTCCAATGTAATTAAGATTCCGATCGTTTTTTTTTCTTAACTGCCAACAGACGAAATATATTGTACGAGTTGTATATTAATTGATGGTAAAGTTGATTAAAGTAATGAGGAATAATATTGCTTTAAGCGCACTGTACAACATACATTTTTGAAGGAAATAGTCGATATGCATAATGCCTTCTTTATTTATTTGAAAATAATCTCAAATTATATCAGTGGCAAAGAAAGGAAGCATTATTATCATCTCATTCAATCGGAAGTGACGAAGCATCTCAAAGATTTTAGACCTCATAATTATATTCAACACGTTCACGATGTATATCCTGTAAAAGTTATTGCTTAGTTACTGTACATAATAACTAAATCGAATATATAAATTATCCGTATTGTTTTTTAAACCGACTTTTCAGCTTGTTCAAATCAGAAATACATTTGCCATGTAAATTCTGAAGAAATTGACCTTATCTCCTTTGGCTCTTACTTGCACTGTATTTCAATCATCGTGGCTTTAAACTGTTGGAGATGGGGATTAACGTCATCCCATATAAAGCCTGATCGTGATGGTTTTGTGGTTCTAGAGTCAGTTCTGGGCCGTCTCTGAATGACGGACGTATTTTCATAGATCTGTTCATCCAGCCACAAACCAGCCTCGGGTTCCTTTTGGTGTGGAAATCTTCCTCCTGGCAGTTCTCTTGAACATGTTTGTAAGCTTGGAGGGTTTATCTCAGAACATTCGGGCTCTGAATCATCCGATGGTGTAGGACTTGGTGGCCAACTGCTCTCTGTTGGTTCTTTACAGCTGTGAAGACTCTGAGGAGCTGACATGACCGAAGCACCTCCTTCGGATTCTCCGGACGAAGTACTGCAGCCGGAGAGACGGTTAAAACTTTCGGGTAAGGGATCCCATGGAAATTCTGGAATCTCGTACAGGTTCTCAAACTGGTCAGGCTTTTCCTGAAAAATGAATTTCGATAAAGACCACTGGTTATATTGTCAGTTGATAACTTTACCGTGTGTTGAAAAAACAAATAATAACTTCATACCTTTAGGGAACTTATTTTACAAGGCCTTTTGGCCTTATTTTAGTTCCCCTTTTCTTGTTTCGACTGGTAAATTTGGTCTCTTTTGATACTGTTAACACGTATGATTGCATGTATTTAAAAATTTATTATAATATTGTAATGATCTATTGCTTTTATATGAAGATGGAAATAAATAAACAAATGAAATGAATGAAAGCTTTGTTTAAGTTGCTTTTGCTGTCATACTGTTTCAGATCTGATGGCGTGTTTCTTAGCACACCTTGGCCCTGTCTTATAAAGAGTTGATATTAATCGCAAATTACTTGCGATTGATATAAATTGCAATTATGTACATGCATGAGAGATAGGAGATGGCAAACTTGCAATTGATCGGAGGACTTGCGATTGATCGGAGGACTTGCGATTGATTAGGATCAATCGCAACTCTTTATGAGACGAGACTCAAGACATCACATATTGCACGATCAGTACAATGTGACTCGTATGGTTACATTAAGCTTTCTATCTATCTATCATTGCAAATATGTCAATTTAGACACAGTCTAAGACACATCTCAAGAAGGTCGTAACAAGAACATACTGCAAAGGGCAGTAACGGGCAGCTGACGATTTATTAACCCCATATTTAATAGTTTACTAGCATTTGTAAAATGTCTCTCTTGATGAATGGCTCACAACGCTCGTCAGGAGAATCGACGATAATAATTATGATGAGAAAGGTACTGACCTGAAGCATTTTTGTCTGATGGAAATCTTGGTACAGTTCTTGTGTCTTTTTGAGGGCCTGCTTGGAGGTTTGCTGCTGTCTACGCCAACCATCCTCATTCTGAACATTATGAACGTTCTCGTATGTATCCTGACAGCTGGCTGTATGTACGATAATCAAAATTTCCAAACAATAAATTATATTATTTTTATGCGCTATAACAACGTAAACAAAAACATTATTTGAAATCTAAAAACTTTATTTTAAATACAGATCAAAGTAACTTTTCTGTCTACATACCTAACTTCTGGTGGAACATACCAGACGTCCGTGTATTTTATAAGACAATAGTTACATGTATTGGGACCTGTGCTCGAAACCGGTTAATTATTGTTTCTTAAAAGCGCTTTACGAGTTACGATCAACCGAATTTGCGCTTAGGCCAAATAAAAATATTAAAAAATCATGTTTAGCGTCCTGTTTTTTTGAAAAATAGGAAGGAGGAGGCCCTTTTTCTTTTCTTTTTTCCTTTCAAAATGGCCGCTCGGTACATTTTCCCTGACAGTCGGGCTATCTTTCAAGATTGCCGCCGTTCAGCTGGTCACCTTTTCACAGGCGCGCACATGCTTATATCTAATAAACACATTGACCTTCGTTATCCTACGAAAGAAAATGCAATAAATTTTCAATAATTCATTGAATTTCACCCCGGTCGCCAACAGAAAAAAATCTTCTGTGTGCCCATGCCTTGAGCCATAATGCATGGTCGTACAGAGGATCTTTTAATGTTGGGGACCGGGGTAAAATGCAATGAATTATTGAAAAATGATTGCATTTTCTTTTCGTTTGTTTGTGGGAACTGCCCCCTACCCTAGCCTCCGCTGCTTACAGTCATGGTTCAGTGGCCAAGCAATGGCCTCGTAACTGTGAGGCCCCAGGATCAAAACCGTGTCGATGTGCCATATTAGTGCCCTTTTGTGGAGCATTAATCCTCATTACTGTCATTTATGACTTAAGGGCGTAGGTCCCCAAGTTGATAAGCGTAGCATACACATGCTTTAGCAGTCACGCAAAACAAACACTGGCAAATTATTATTCAATAAAATCTGAGATTGTATACTATTTTCTAGATCTATTAGGAATAAATCATTGTCAAAATAATTCCATAAATTGGGGTAAAAAAAATATTCCAACTATATGAGCGACAGTGTAGTAAGTGGTTGAGAGAAAATAACCCAAATGTTGGACAAAAATGGCCCAACTTTAATTTGCCCAATAATATTGCCCAATTATTTCGTCAGTAACTACATCGTTGGTAGAAAATAACCCAATTATTGGACAACGTTTGCCCAACATCGATTTTCCCAGTAACATCTACCTAACCTATTCTTACCTTTTATTAGGTAACTTCATATAGTAAATGGTAGGGAGAAAATAACCCAATTATCGGACAAAATTTGCCCTAATTCGATTTACCCAGTAGCATCTGCCCAACTTTTTTTACAGTGTATAAAGTGTTTTTTTTTAATTTTTTTAAATAAAGATAAACTTAATTCATCATTCCCGCTTTATTTACAGCATTTTAAAGAACCAACAAATCCTCAAATCTCATGAATTTTTGTTGAATTAAAAATAAGGATCGTTTTTTTATTATCATTTGAGTATTTCAACAAAATCAATTTTATCCATTATTTTGGAAGCTAACTCTGGTCCAATATTAGTAAAGTCTTTATTGAATGCATCAGCAACAACGTTAGGATCTTGGATATGATGCCCTTTGTATTTAAATTCAATGTTATTAAGAATTTGCTTTTTCTTCCCTAAAAACGTCATTAATTGTTTGCCATAATGATTGATTGATTGATCTTTAATATTTTCAATTATATTACAATACTAGAATTAGCGTGACAAACGAATAATTAAAGTCAATTTATCACGGTACTTTTTATATTCATTTCGGTTTTCATTTGTAGTTGATCGAAGTGATATTTAAGATAAACGAATTCGAGTAGATATTGATTTAATTATCCTTCAGTAATCTATGGTCGTTTATTTCTCTTTTTACTTGATTTAGTTCTTGTGCGTGGCACATTTTGTATCATAATAATAAGGAAGTTTTTTTATAATTTTTGTCAAATGAACTGTTCACATCTCTTTCAAATATATATCATGCCATCCATCATACCGTCGTGCGACGCCCCAGCCTCCACGTGATGACGTCCACAGCAGACTTGGCTGTCGTCAGTCTCCTCATTAGGTTCTGATGTATTGCCCCTCTTCTATACGATATAATGAAAAGAGGAGTATGAGGGAGAAGATATACACTAAGCCGATTTCGCTAACAAAACAAAAATATCAATTAATAGATAAATAGCTAAATACTTAAATGAAAAAAATATGTAGATAAACACGATTGTTTTAAAGGATAGGAAAGATCAGAAAAATCAATTTTATTATCTTTTTAATGAAAGGTTTCATGTTTATTCTAAGACGGCAGACAGAAGACATAAGGCCTAAGATATTTCTTCACGTGCACGTTCTTGCCTAGAGGGTATCTTTACCTATAGCAGTCGACTTTTTTCATGATTCAATAACAGAAGGAGTTAGGACTAACCTTAACGACTTTGTCTAGCTCATCGTGAAAGATCCCATGCATGTTGCCAGGTGCTGTGATGGGGGCTCCTTTCCGAGTACGAGACACGGGCGGTCTATGGGAGGAAGCATCTGTTTGTGTTCTCTCTCGATAGGGCTGCGATGGCTGCGATGGCTGTTGGTTGGGTGTGGTTTTGATGGACATCAAGGCCTGTAGTTGGCTGCACCACTCGTCCCTCTGCTCCCTGCGTAAATCGGTAGAACGGTTGGGAAAATGTTCTTTAATGACGTTCTTAGTCTCGAACAGCTTGAAAATTCATGATGCGAATGAGGCTTTCTTTAAGCTATCAATTACTGGGTGTTGATCTTTTTTCTTCAAAATAATGAATTTAAATACTCCTGTTTTACGCCCTTTATGGGAATTAATAAATTAATTCCTCTGCCACCATGACAATCACCTCTACTACTTTAACCTCTCCTATCACTCATCATCATTTCCAAATGAAATTATTTTCTTTTTCAATCAAATTCAGACTTGCTACTGCAAGTGCTAGATTGTTTGCAATAACAGTAAACTTCTTCCGTCTACTGCTTTGAACCATATATCTTTAACCAATTTAGCCTTTTTACTAATTAATGTAGTTGCTTACCTTGTTTGTGTGCGTAAGTATGTATATTTACCCACGCTACCATTACCAGTGATGCAGATGTAGTTGTCGTACTTTGCCTTGACGATCTTCGGGACAAGGTCGCCCTTTTGGACGGCCGCACAGGACCTTACTTTGACGACAGAATTTGGTTCTCCAGATCCATCGGTGAATATATGAATCTCTGGACGCTCCCCAATGCCAAGTGAAGCTAGCTTGCAAATCACCAGTTGTTCTTTGTCCTGCAATGTGCACATGTTATCCATTTGATGTGTTCTTAATAATCATCATCATCACCACCAACATGTTTAATCGATATGATTTTTTTTCAATATTGAAAAAAAAAAAAAATCGGGGGGGGGGAGGTCATTACAAAAATGGGTAGATGACAAACACAATCATCCTAATTTTTACAACTTTTGTTTATTTGACAAGTCAGGTCAATCACCTTTATTCTATTAAAATCTATAATATGCTTGAATTAAATACGTAGCGAGAGGAATGTTTCTTCAATCAAATCACATTAATATTGATTCTGATGATTCATATTGATGAAAGTGTCGTGTGCGATAGAGTATATCAACAAGATCTACATATTATCTTCTTGGTGGTGTTTACTTGAAATTCAGGGGCCAGTTTCTCGAAACCGCCATAACGCTTAATTCGTGGACATCAGATAAATGTTATAGCACAAATTTCATTGGGATGTCCAAGTAGTTTAGACTTATGACGGTTGCGAGAAACAGCCCCCGGTATGCTATAATACTAAATCTCCATGACATTAAATGATTCGACATGTCTTTCCTTCGAAAATAGCGCTACTAGTTTTGTTAACTGTGTGTTAAAACAAGGAACAGAGAATTTCCATCTGTGTCAAAACAAAATTAGCTCGTTAACTCTATTTTTCTTTCAGGGTATCAATATATTTAGTTTTTATTGAAAATTCAATGACTAATTCTATTTGAAGACGTCTGGGCAGCTCTTACCTTTAGGAGCCCTGTCTTGTGCAAAAACATGTGTGTTTCTGTTGTCCCAGACATGGTTCTGAAAGACAAAACATTTCGATACTTCTTCAATATATATAATTATACTATTTGATAAAATAATACTTCAATCATACGTATTCTTATCAATCCATAACACTTAGAGACAAAATTACCAGCCATCAAGGACTTTCCAATGCTTGTTGATATCATGATCGCATTGTTAACTCTTATACAAGGTGGGATAAAGATTTCCCTATTATAAGTTAGAAAGGGAGCATGCATCTTCGTTTGTAAAAAAAAACTTAACCCATTATTGAATGTAATGTGACCAAAATTGCTTAAAATTTACCCAATAATTTATTCAATTGTACATATTTTTTAAAGAGTGTGTAATACATCGCCTACTTTTACATGCCATATATGACAAACAGTCATAAGCATCACTTATTTTACGAAGAGGAAGTATAGATTAGTTTTGTTGACAATCTTATATCTAGAAAATGCATTATAGTTAAAATAATAAGACCATCTTATTTTGTTTAAGCTTAATCAATCTCATTATCAATCAATTATCATTGATATTTAAAATTTTTGTCACATTGGAACTCATTTTTGCAAATTTCGTATTCTATTTTGTATTCTTGGTTTCCTTTATTGAAAAGGCTACATTGTTTCCACTCCACCATACAACACAGAGCTAAGTGCACCAGGGACGTAGCCATAATTTGATGTTTGGGGGGGGGGCACATACATGTAATCGATCGACGTCCTGAGGAGGGGTCTAAAAAATTTCAACCGATCTTGAAAATTTGTTGGGGGCACGTCCCCCCCCCCCCCCCCCGTGGCTACGTGCCTGACGTGCACATCCATTATTCGCTACACACACATACAAACACGCAATGACAATGACAATCTATTCTCATGTCACGCACATGCACCCACACACTCACACACACACACACACAATATATATATATATATATATATATATATATACACTCACACAACACACTCTCATACACAAAGATCGTTTAAACACTTTTTCTTTTTTAGACCGCCATCCTAGTCAAGCGGACAGTTTGGCTACTATTTTAAATTCATAATAATATGTTATAGAAATATTAAGTTTTGTTAATTGATGTACATATGTAAAAAAAAAAAAAAAAATTAAAAAAAGTTTTGACATGAAGTTATTGTTTGTATATATTATGGATTAAACCTACGTTTTTATGTTCTTTGTTATTCAGTTATTATATTTGGAAAAAATGCAGAAATTAGATGTAATCGAACGTAAATACTATTTCATTACATACACTTCTACATCATTTCCAAGGAACGTAATACATTTTCCTATCAAAATTCATCACCCGTCAATTAAGATGCAACATACGCGTTTATATAAAACACTCTGTTGTCAATCCAAATGTCAAATAATCAAAATACACTGTCAATCAATTTTGAAGAAAAAAAAAGTTTAAAATAAATGATGGAAGTGATTTTCAACTTTCTGTTTTGTTTTGTTCCAATATTTCTTTTGCTATCCTTATACTTCCAAAAAGTTCCAAACTGACTTAATCATTAACAATATATATTTCATGAGAAAACAAACCTCCCTAGATGTATATTTCGCCATGTTTCCAGGTATTCGTTAAAATGATCGTCATAGCTTCATTATCCTTCTCCTTCAAAGCAACTACTGTATTGATGATTCTCCGAATTGGTGGATTACAGCACTGGAAATGCCGAACGAAAGGTAACTAGTTTTCTGTCACCATCAAAACTGACTAATAAAGGCATCAGAAGTTTAAAAAGCTAAATGTTTATCTTTTTTTTCCTGTCGATCTCACGATATGGCACATAGAGCAGCTCATTTTTGGTTTTGAACAGTGATTTAGTTCTTCCTCTCCTATAAAAGTATTTTAGGAAACTAAACCCATTTTTTCTCACGCACCCCTTTTTACCATGATTCCAAGTATTCGATAAAATGATCTTCATAACTTCGTTATTAATAAAGCAATAATAATAATTCTGTGAACTGGTGGGCTACAGCACTGGAAATACCAAAACAAAAAGTGATTAGTTTTCCGACGTCATCAACATTGTGCATTCAAGATATCAGAAGTTTCAAAAGCTTGTTGTTTGGCAGTCTATTTCTTGCCGATATCACGATTATAGTACACAGAGCAGCTCCTTTTAGTTTTTTAACAGTGATTTAAGTTCTTCCTGTTCCTATAAAAGTATTATAGGAAACTAATTCCATTTTCTCACGCACCCTTTTTTACCATGATTCCAAGTATCCGTTAAAATGATCTCCATAACTTCATTATCCTAAAAACCAACGATATCAATAATTCTCTATAGTCTATTACATCTCCTCCTTTAACATGGCATGCATGACAAACAGTCACAAGCATCACTTCTTTAACGAAAAGGAAGCATAGATAGGGGAAATAGTTTATATGTTATATCAAGAAAATACATTCTAGTCGAAATAATAAGACCATCTTTTTTTTCTTCATCTAAATCAATTTTATCCCATTTCATTACATACACCTGTGAATGACTCCTAGCAACGTAATCTAATTTTTCCTTTCAAAATTCATTACCTGTCATGCAAATTACTGATAAAAATGTAAGTTTTTAAGCAATGAAGATGCCACCCATTTGTAAAAACTCTGTAGCGGATCCAAATGTCAAACAATCAAAATACTCTGTCAATCAATTTTGAACAAAACAAAGTTAACAATTAATGATGAAATTGATTTGCAATTTTCTGTTTCGTTTCGTTCCAAACTTTTTTTTAATTCTTATGCTTTCAAAAGGTTTCAAACTGACTTTATTATAAATAATATATATTTAAATGAGAAAAAACCCTCCCTAGATTAATATTTCACCATGATTCCAGGTATTCGTTAAATGATATTTATAGCTTCATTATCCAGAAACAACGATATCAATAATTCTCTGAACTGGTGAGCTATACAGCACTGGAAAAATACCCAAACAAAAAATAATTAGTTCTCTGGCGTCATCAAAACTGTGATTTTCAAGATATCAGAAGTTTCAAAAGCTAATTGTTTATCAATTTATTTCCTGTCAATCTCACGGTATGGTACACATAGCAGCTCCTTTTGTTTTGAACAGTGATTTAAGTTCTTCCTGTTCCTATAAAAGAATTTTAGGAAACTAAACCCATCCTCCCACGCACCCTTCGCATGCAATTGAGACTAAAAAGTACAAATCACTAAATATTGACATTCTCGATAGCCTTGATTTGTATCGATGATGACTGTCCATGTATTTTTCTTCATCTTCAATTCTTTAGTATTCTCTACTTCACTCTTTCTACTTGTCTTCTTTTGTAAACACGACGTAATGCGTTTTTGTTTTTGTTTTTGTTTTTTTTTTGGGGGGGGGATTTGGGGGGAATGAAATAAGGAATAATTCTGATCGCAAATTGATCAGTATTTCATTGTTTTATATCTTTAGTGTCACACTAAAAATTAATAGTCGGTCATTATCCCATGATGCGGATTCCCCCCCCCCCCCCAAAAAAAAAAAAAAACGATTTTGCTCATTACGCCATTGCTGGTCACCATTACGTACCAGTATCTGGCTTGCATAGTTTCAAATTTGCCCCCCCCCCCCCCCCCACCCTAAGAAATCCTGGATCCGCGCCTGCTGGGTGGACAAACGTAGGGTATCTCGAAGCCAGATTTTGACACTCTGAGAAGGGGGGCCTTGTAGATGCCATGTTATACCCAGCGGGATTATATTGGTATGGAATGCCAATTGGGCCACAGCCTGTATCCTTAGATATGCTTCATTATCCCTAATCCATTTTTTGTTAACGCAGTGCTTGTAAGCCTTATCTATATCCCAATGCTTTTCAAACTTCGTAGGCATTCAGCGTGTCCACACACAAAACAATTTATCCCGAAACTCTATAACGAAACGTCGTATAAAGAATCATCGTATAAATTTCAGAGTGTCCACACAAGAAAAGTCGTATAAATAATCATTGTATAAATTCCAGGATGTCCACACACAGAAGAAAGTAATCCTGAAACTCTACAGCGAAATGTCGTATAGGTACGCAGTTTGCTACTGCGGTCATGAAATGGAAGCGAAAATGAGAGGTCTGGTCTCCTTTCGCTCGAAGTCACGTTAAGCCCCGCCCAGTTAGTTACACTAGTTACACTCCCCCTGTCCACACACAACATTTTCCATGATTAGGCGTGATTAGGCGTGATTCTTTATTGAGTTTCAGTTCGAAACGATGCCCAAACCTGCGAAGTTCGTTAGACTAGTTTCGTTATACGACGTATCGTTAGTGAGCGTCCACACACACAATTTTCCATCGTAAAACTATCGCGAAACGGTATCACTATCGCGAAACGGTATAGCTAATCACGCCTAATCACGGAAAATGTTGGGTGTGGACAGGGGGATAGTCTCTGCCATCCTATCAAGGTCACTAGTTTCACCGTTTTCCAAAAGCGCTCGTGCGTGACTGTCCAGTCACCATTTTGTCTGTTCCGGGCCGTGTTTTAAGCCTTTCTTTCGGCCTTTCTATCTCCACATTCCTTTATGCTACAGACTTCTAAGAAATTGCTCTAGATTTTTCAGGGAGATACTCTTTCGTCTGCCAAGTAAACACACAGGCATCAATGCATGTATTTTGTTTGAATACGATTGAAGTGCTTGTATTATTCTTCTTCTTTTTCCTTTGATTACTGTTATTATTATCATTATTTGTATTGTTGTTGTTGACGTTTTTATCATTATCGTTACTTTTCTTCTTCTTCTTCTTCTTCCTCTTCTTCATTATTATTATTATTATATCCCATAATAAATTCCATTATAGCTCTTACAGGCATGCACAAATAATTCATATATACTAGTAGTCACATCAACAAATTAAATTAGCTGAGTAATCTTTATACTTCTGTGGGGGTAGGGGAAGAACATTCAGTTTGTTTACTTTTTTTCATACAGTTAAACACAGAATGCTAATCTTTAATAATCATCATTTCCGTTTTAATTATAAACTAGTGTTTTTGGATTTGCGTTTTCGCTCTCTCTTTATCTCTCTCTCTCTCTCTCTCTCTCTCTCTCTTCGAGAAGCTATGTCCGTGGATAATGTCTCATTTAAAAATGGTGAGAAGTGGGCAAGGAATCAGTTTTCACAAATAACTTTTAACGTTCATGTGCACATTTTCGTCTTAAATCAACAACAAAACAAAAATCATCGTTTTGACTACCGGTAATTCAATAATTACATAGTAAGCAAATGCTCATTTCATTTCAATACCGTTAAATTCATGCCATTCCTATTTAAAATAGACGATGATAATTTTATCAGCGTTTCAATTGATGAGTTGGTAGAGAAAAAAATAATTTAAAACAATTCTTTGTGTTCTATACATTTAGAAAAAAGGAAGTCAGTGGGTATTTACACCCCCCCCCCCCCCCCCTCCCGCTCCAATTTCCAAAATATACCAACATGAATGTGTGGCTAAACGTTTAAAAGAAATAAGAAATTAACACCCGCTCTTGAGTCTAAACCACTATTGACAATCCTCCATAAATACGGCAAATATCATTACAATTCAGTCTGCTATCAAAGATGAATATACAGTATTAGATTTATTATGCTAAAGATTAGCTAATTAGCTGCATGATTTCGACTCACCTCTCCTTCTGCGACATACTGCCAAGGTAAATACTATCTGACAGTTGGCCAAGCTGGCGAAGAGAGCCCTCGAAGCTTGCCCTCGATCACGACGATGATCTTGGTGAACTCTTGATTGTTGAATGATTTTCACTGTACACTACCCTTCTGATTCCGAAACAGGCACTTCAAGATAACTCTAAAACAAATGAGCTCTAAAGTGCTCGCAATCCAAGTTTCTTTCAGATTTCAGTAAAAGAAAGTCACTGAGGCTGAGAAAGTAAAAGCAACTAAATCGGATTATGGATATTTAAATGAGCTGAGACCAAACTTCGTCGATCTATATAGTAAACAGAAGTAGGCAAAACATTCCGTAACGCAATATTGCTCACATTTTGTACGCCCGCCAGTTTTTCGCATCTCATTTGCTTGTGGGGAATGTGGAGGTTGAACGCGCCCATCGCACACCACGAATGGGGACCTTAACACTTGCACGTCGACAAAGTGGACTGCTACGTGTGACGTCCTTTTAAGGCACTGTCAGTGCCTTAAAAAGTGCCTTAAAAGGACGTCACATGTGCTACGTTTGACGTACTTTTACTATGTCGACGTGCAAATATAAAAGTCCCTAATATCCCGTGCTCACAAGCAGGTGGCCAGCGCAACCCATGACCAAGACCAATCCTCATAAAGCTGCTATACGCTTCACTAATCGCGAGTCAATCCTTATGAAGAGCACTTCATTAAAAAAATGTTCGAATCTGAGGTGTAAAACGGGTGGAATCAGCGACGATGTTCACCCAGATACGAGAAATGAACACAAACGGCTGATGACGAGAGTCAGGCAATTACGAGATGATATTAAGTTTGCGTTCATCCCAAATTCCTTCCCTAGAGTAATTAAATCTTAGGATGGTCCCCAAAGATGCCCCGGGACCCCTAAAAACGCTTCGACTATCAGATCTGAACAATACGAATCGAACACTTACTTCACCTGCACACGCCCACTTGCACACACACTTGCATTTTCCCAGGTTTTTTTTTAGATACTTTCTGAACATAATATTCAAACGTGACACTCTATTCTCCTACATACTCCAATAACAGCGTCACGTACCCCCCCCCCCCCTCCCCCTCCCTCTTTCTCGGCTGCTACCTCTAAGCATTCATGCTTATGGTAGTTAGCCTCTGCATTTATCTTGATTCTTTTAATTACCTCCATACTTTAAATTTTTCAATTATATATATAGTAAATTATATGCATTTTCGTATGTGTGTATTTCAGTTGTCACTCTTTATGTAAATCAATGATATCATATTGTTATTTGAATATTTTGTATTTGATTTATCAATAAATGCAGAAACATCTGCTAAAAAAAACTTTAAAAAACGAATTCTTACATGTTGAAACAATAATGTTCTATTTTAAATCATCAAATACAGTGCATGTTCATATGAAATTCATTGACATAAGCCCACTGGTCATTTTTATAGGGCTTAATTGGCAACTATTTAAAGAGATGTTGTGTATTTAACTTGATACAGAGTTCTGATCATGAAAGAAAGGAGTTTTTACGATGGTTACAGAATTTGATGTAAATATAGCAGGGCAGGTTTATTTTGGACTTTTCAAATTAAAGTAAAAGTGCAGAAAGTTCGCATGATATATTTTGGCAATAACATCGTTGCTTTTTATTCGAGAGTTGGTTGACAATTAAATTGCTTTTCAAGGATTTACATAATGTTAAATTCATGAGTTTTCTTTTGATTTATTATAAAAACAAGGGATTTTGTTGTAATTTCTAGCAGGAAACTGTAAATGCAACGCTTGCACGTATCACTGACGTCAAAACAATTAATGAAAATAACCATATTCATAATGATTTAGTTTATCAAAATCCGGAAATGCGCTGCAGGAAAGTAATTTTACTTTCAATCTGTAATAAAAACTAAAGCAGACAATGAGACGTGCCGAAATAATCTAAATCTAAAAGACTTTAATTTGGAACTAAAAAGAGTTTCTATGAAATCCCCACAGGATTCAATATTGCATGACTACTTGCTGTCTTTCTTTCTGTATTCTACATTAGACTCTCTCTCTCTCTCTCTCTCTCTCTCTCCCTCTCTCTCTCTCTCTATGTATCTCTCTATCTATCAAAGTATCTCTCTCTTTCTTCCTCTCTTTCTTTCTCTCTCTCTCTCTTTCACTCTCCTTTTCCATTGTCAGACTTAGAATTAATTTAATGTTTTCTTCATTCATTCGCAACATTAGATACTAGGAATGGGTGGGGTAATCACACGAAATTACAAGTTAACTGATGCAACAACGGTTATTTCCTCTTTTTTTCCCCTCGCTATAAATTATTATTTTCTGAGAAAGAAGGAACTTAATGGATTGTTGGCAAGAACAGTGGAGTCAACGGTTTTTTCCTGTCAATGATTGTATTAAATATTAAGATGCATGGAGCGTCGAAGACGAGAGGTTTAAACTATCGACTAGAGTTGAGAAGGTCGTGGGTTTGATCCCCGGTACAGCATTTGTGTACTTTAGCAAGACTTTACTTATTGATTATTATCGCTATGCAGCCAAGTGTCAAATAATGTACCTGGTAGGCAGCGAAAGTTTGTTCAGCATTGTGAGCTTCTCTGAAAAGGCGCTTGGCTGGAACTTGCACCCCATAATGAATGAGATGCATATTATACTGTACATGCGTGGAAAGTGGCGTAATGAGCAAAGCAAATCCGCATCACCACCAGATGGCATAATGGGAATTATTGTTGTTAAAGGAGGGAAGAGAATGCGGATATTGAAGATAATATCGCCTATATATTCTAGCTGTGGCGTACCGTTTTTTGCTATGTTGATTATTCATGAGGCTAGAATACTTTGCATCTACCCATGAAAAAAATACTTGATTGCTTACATTAATGTTCTTCACACTTTGAGCAATAAAAGTGTGGGGGCACTAACAACTTAAATGGGGCACTTTCTGGAAAAGGGGGCATCGTCAAAGGGAAACCTCAAAGTGAAAATATGTCATTACTAGACATTGGTATAATACCCCTACATTGTGATTACATTATCAGGGATGGTTTCAATGTTTGTTTCTCTCTTTACATGGTCCAAGATACTGCTTAAGCATCATACTTTGCAGTTGAATGTGATGGTCTGTAATATTCATTTGCGAGCGAGTAATAATTTCTAAAATTTGTGTGGTCGCAGTTCGAAAAAAAATACATCTTATAAAGATGGGGGACAAATTCTGATGGGGTTTTAAGCACAACCTAATCATGAAAGACTGAAAAGATATTTAATAAGAAACGTAAATAAATAAACTTTAATTGCTAACGAGCGTAGCGAGCAAGCTTTCGGTGAAAATTAATGGGAAAATTGCTCTTAGTTGCTTTAGAATTATGAGCACATTTTATGGTGAAAGGAAAAAGAGGCACATATCCACACAAAAATGACACTTATTAGAAAAGGGGCACGTGTCAAAGTAAAAAGGGCAATTATCAGAGGAGAAAATGGGACAATGCTTGCAGCTAATAAGGGGCACCACAAATGAAAAGGCACTTGTGAAAACGGAAAAGGGGCACTATATAATACAAAGGAGAAATAAGTGCAATTATCACGGGAATTATCGATAAGGAATTGGCACTAACTAGACATGATAAGGAGGCACGAGCCAAAATAACAGGGTCACTTATCTGAAGAGGAATTAGGGGCACGTATTACAATAGAAAAGGGCACTTGTTAAAGTAAAATGGGCACCTCTCAGATTTGAATAGGGCAATTATCAGAGGCAAATGGGCACATACCGGAGTTGGTAAGAGGCACTTATAAGTATGTGGAACGGGCAACTATTTGAAATTGTTAAAAGGCGTTTATTTGAAATAAATATGGGCACCTTTCGCAGTAAAAGAGCACTGTAGGTTTTTTTTCCTTAGTTCTTTATGATCCAAGACATGTTGTACATTTTTTTATTTTAAGTGTATTTAAACTGATTATCAACCATGCCTTGCACATGTCAACCTTTTTATTGTTTCATTTTATGTTACAAATAAAATGAGGGGGGAGGGGGGAAGGGGGGGGGGGGGTAGTGAGCAAATTTGTTAATTTTTTTTTTGCTCTCAAAAATTTGAAAATCGCGCCGGCCGAAAATTCGCTCAGTGGGGGGGGGGGGGGGGGGGGGGGGTATTGAGCACTAATTTTTTTTTTTTTTTTTTTTTTTTTTGGGGGGGGGCCCTCGAAAATTTGAAAAATTGCACCGGGTCCCCCCCCCCCCCCCTGGATCTGCCACAGCCAGCAAATAACACGCTTTTCATAGTTGTAGCAGTTCCTCAATACATACTTTGTTTTGCTTTATCCTGCACTTGTCACATTTTGCATTATAAACATAAAAATATGTTTTCAAAAAAAAAAAAAATTCAATCTCTGAACAGCATTTTCTGTACAAGTGTCAAATGATTAAAACACATCAGTGAAAAATTCTTAGCTAATTAAGAACTCATTTTTTTGTAACGTGTTCTTTGTTATATTTTTAATTGCAAAAATTTGTATGACAGATTTTTAAATGACAGCTTACTTTAATTCACCTGAACATTGGGAATTTCAAAGTCCCATCCAGTACGCCTTTAATGACCTATGCTGTGTGAGATTCTTAATGATTATTTTCAATTGGGTCTTCGGATATAGGCCAAAAGGGAATAAGGGTACCAGTAGTGAGGGGTACAGATTCGCTCGAAGTGGGAGGGGTCTTTCTATTTCATTTGATAGTATATACCTTCAAAGATCCACACGCTAGTCTACGGTATTTGTTATGTGATCTCTAATCTGGTGAAATATCTTTTTGACCTATGGTGAATGTTGCATCATTCCGCCATTATATCCCCTCATTTCTCTCTTCGATTTCTTTTCAATTCGTTTCCCTTTCTTTCCCCTCAACCTCTTCCTCCTTCATCTCCTCCTTTTTCTTGCTCCTCCTCCTCCTCTGTTTCTTCTTCGTCCTCCTTCTCCTCCCCCGCCTCCTTCGAGAATGGCATTCTTCGGTTTTCTTCTTCGTCGTCGTCATCTTCTTCTCCATCGTCGTCTCTTTCTACTCTCTATATCTTTCTCTGTTTTATTCCTCTCCTCTCTTTCTGTCTTTTTTCTTTTCTTTTTTTTTAATAACTGTCGCGTTCCATTCGGCCTGCCCTCACGACGGATCTGCCTATTAAGTCAACCGTAATGTTTCATATACATAATATCCGTGTCTAAATGATTACAACCATCATTGTGTCTGCTGCCCTCTCTTGACACATATTTCAGGATGGATCGTCTGCTGTTTGCATATTCTCTCATTTCCGTTTTCATCCAAGGTCATCTTTCTTCATCAGAACATCACTCCTTCAAAGTGTCTTGTGATAAAAATGTTGCAGAATTAAAGCACTTTTGGAGAAGTACAGGCCTTTGGTGAGTGATTTCCGTATTTAGCATGACCCTGAATGAAGCTTGCGATGATGGCTCTACCTACATTTTGCTTGTTGCCCCAGCTATTGAATTTCATGTACCCCTTCATGTACAGTCAGTAGAATAGGCTATATAACGGTCAACAGTGAGAGTAAAAAAAAAGTTCAACCTAGTAAATTCAGGGCTGCCAATTTTGAAAAACAGTTAAAAGTGAGATTATACAAGATGCTTTAGCGTGAGGGAGCAAAGCGACCTAGCCCAACCGAGCGCAGAGAGGGTTAGTGGGAGGGGGACGTCCCTCCCACAGTGTGGAGCTTTTTTTATTTTTCAAGGTGAAATTGTGTGATCTGGTGCATACTTTATAGAGTATTTTAACATATAGCTAAAGGCAAGAGGGAGAGAGAAAATACAGAGAGGTTAAGAAAATTCACGTTAAACTGATGCATACCGTACCGACGGTGGCGTGCGGGCGTGTGTGTTTGTTAAGTTAGTGTCTGTTATCTAAGCAATTCATCGGTAATGCTTTTGTGATGTTTAAATAAAACGATTTGCATCTCCAAATAACAACCCTAACAAAATTAATCATGCCACACATATCAAAGAACATTTGTGCGCATGTGTGTGTGTGTGTGTGTGTGTGTGTGACTTGCTTCTGCAAACATTTTATGCAATGCTTCTCATTTGATACATTCAATTCATTCTCTTACTTTAATAATATTACTTTTTGCAAGTCGATTTTTGCACTCTCACAAATAATGCCTTCTGTTCATCCAAACGTGAACACATACCACACAAAAATGATACCAAACGATTCGGGATAAAACACACTTTCAAAACCTGTATGATAACCTTTCGTTCACTAGCTGACTTTAAATAAATGACAATTTTCTGAGTGTAAACTTTTTTTTGTCACACACGGTATAGCCACACATAGCAGCATTATTATCCTGGCTGTATTTAAAGTTAGGGACACTGTACAGCAGTACTTTCATGCAATATTTTGTAAAACCTGCTGTATGATAGTTTCAAACAGTTTAACAAACAATTTAATGAATCAATGTAGATGACAAATAACAAACAAATGAAACTTACAAGTTTTGTTAATTAAATTTTCCTTGGTTTTTCCAGATATTTGAGCCTACTTGTGTTTACCTGTGTTTATCGTTGTGATCGGTTGTTAACACAGGTCAGCGGCAGGCTATCTGCACATGCGAGATAGACAGCCACCCGTCAACACACACAGTTTGATGCAGGCACGGATCCAGGGGTTGGCCGATCGAGCCTTGGCCACCCCCCCCCCCCCCCCCCTCTAGCCAGCAACATAAAATTGTGACCAGAAATTTACCTTATTATTTATTTTGCTCGGGGGGGGGGGGGGGATGTTGAGCGAAATATCGGCAGGCGCGATATTCACAAATTTCCCAGGGGCAAAAAAATAAAAATGAGTGCTCACTTCCCCATAATTAATGCCCTTCGCCCATTTTGAAAGTATTTTTGAGTAAAATCTGGTGAGTTTTGTCCACAGGTGTTTGAAAATCAATAGAGTAGTAGATCTAGTAGTAGTAGTAGTTTTACGTAGATGCTAGTAGCAGGTGCAAATTGGAGGGGAATCGATGGGGGGGGGGGAAACACTTGGTGGCTCAAGTCCCCCCCCCCCCTCAAAAAAAAATTAAAAAATAATAATAATAATAATAATAATATTAATTATTATAGTAATAATGATAATTGCTGTTTCACTACATTATTTACGATTATGCTCTCCAAGATATTTTCAAATTTTGTTTTTCTTTTAAATCCATCTTTTCAAAAACCTTTTAGTCCAGCAGCTCCACATCAAGAGGACTACAGCTATTTCTTGAGTGAGGATGAGAAGCAGAACCTGGCCCTGATTGGGTCCGTCCCAAGAGATGGCATCAAGCAAGTCCGCATTCATTGGTTGCTGGATCTGGTTAAAATCAAGTAAGCTGGGCAATCCAACCTGTGTAATAATAAGTTCATTTGCATGAAAGCAGAATGATAAGAGAAACAGAATAACAAATGTTTGAAATGTGAGATCACTTAATATCTGTAAATCTCAAATTGGTCAGTTGATTGTGACGATGACATTTATATTGTACAGTATACAAAAATACCATTAATTTATGCTTTTCTCCTAGAAGTGTCTTCTCCCTTGAGGCACTTGTCTACATACAGTATATGTCTTCTAAAGAGAACAGGCCCTCCTGGGTCATAGATTTTGAAAAATTGAAATTTCAGTCATGTTATGTGTTGGAACAGATGGGAAAGTATTCCAGCTCTACCTCCACAGTGACATTACTGATTCAGTCAATTTGATGTACCTAGATGAATAGAGATTCTAAATTTTTGCCCAATTTTGATCAAAACTTTCACCAGTCTACTTGTGTGATTTATCTGCTCTCTTTTTAAAGTAGTCTGCTCGTAAAGTTGGATTTTCCTTTAAGCTCCCTGGTAAACCTGTCTTGCTTGGCATGGTATCAGAATACTTAGTTCAATTGATATAAAAGTAAGTTACTATTGGTTACAATAACCACAATAGATCAAATTTTGATAATAAAAGCCATTATAGATTAGATCAGATTAAAATCAGTTTACATTGTATTTATTATCCCATTTGTGTCTGAACTGGTAGGTATGTAGCATTCACTCATGCATTTAAACCCTGTTATGGAGTGGCATAACGTAAATCACTGTCTTGCCAAAGGATAGTGGTTGGCAGAGATTTAAACAAAACCTTAGCCTTTTGATAGACAATCAGGTGAGTGACCCGCTATGCCTCAATGCTTCCACAGGTATGTGCTGAAGGATGTCTTTCTATCCTACCTGTTGATCTACTTACAATATCTACAAGATTGTCTAGCTTCTCTCCAAGAGTTCACTTTGTCTCTTTCTGTTCTTTCATTTTTTTTCCTTCTCTTTTCATTCTCCCTCCCTTCCCAACCCTCTCTCCTTCGACCCCCCTCTCTCTTTCTCTCTCTCTCTCTCTCTCCCTCTCTCGCTCTCTTGCTCTTCCTTCCCTCTTCATCTCTTTCCCTCCTCTCCATCTATATCTCTTTCTCTCTCTCCCTTTCTCTACCCTTTCCTCTCCCTCTTCTCTCCTTTCCTCCCTCCTACCTCTCTCCTTCCAAAACATCTAAAACCAGCTCAATTGAAGGATCCATCATCAACTACAACTTTACCCTTTTGGACCAACTGGTTGATGTGTTACATTCCAATGGTCTTCAGCCTGGCTTTGAACTGATGGGGAACCCATCGGACTGGTACAACGACTTTGAGAACAGGACCCAGATCTTCGCCTGGCGGGACTTGGTCCAGCTCATAGCCAAGAGATATGTAGGTGAGTGATACTAGTCAACAGAATGTGTACTAAAGTTGAACAATATCATTGTTCTAAATGTCACAGAAATTGGCTTACATTGAGGGTAAAAATGTCTTCCTTTCCGGAGTGAAATTTAGACTCAAAATGCTTTGTGTCATAATAATAATAATAGTGGGTTTTTGTATAGCGCTCATGTCTGTCAGACTTGACACTCCTGGTGCTCCATAATTATATACCCCGGTTTTAACATGGCTACCATTACGGCGCTCTAGCATTTCAAGGAAATAAGTCCTGCTGGGTGCCCATTTACATGACCTGGGTCGAGTGTGGCAAATGTAGATTAATGTCTTGCAAAAGGACATCAGTGCCATGGGGGACTAAAACTGCGAACATCGTGATCCAAACTTCGGTGACGTATCCATGACAACCATGACATGTCAATTATGAATTGGGAAATATAATCTGCTCAATATAGGTAACTGTCTCTATTTCTATAAGACCATCCTAGTCCAAGCACATTGTTAAACACTCAAATTCTTGAGGAAAGAAGGGGGGGGGGGGTATGGCACCTATGTCATGGAGGGGGTTATTAGGATGACAAGAAAATGTCCCATTCCTAGAATTCTCACAAAATTGCTTGCCATATTATAACCATTGAAACTTGGAAGAATTTTAACCCAATTTTGTGTACTTCACTCAAGCTAATTGTCTATGAAGGGTCTTGAATGACTTTATATTAATACATTTTCATCAAATTGTGCCCTCAGATATAGTCTGCACATCTTTATCACTGTAAATGATTTGGGATAAGTTTCTTCCAGCATAGTTTACAAAAAACAGTTGACAACTGAATTATTCATACCCCATGTAAATGTTTAATCAAGTCGGCCATTAGTTATTTCAATCACAAACTTAAGGTAGTTTCTCTTCAAAATTGATTATGATGCTTGATAGTTACTTGTGTCTCCATGTTTTGTGTGGTGTATCTTAGATCGTTATGGCCTTTCTCAGGTCGCTGAATGGAACTTTGAATCCTGGAATGAACCTGATCATGGAGACTTTGATAATCTCAATTTTACAGTACAAGGTAAGTGCAAGTGACCCATTGGATTCATTGAACTATAAGAGTGCAGGAATATGTGCTCTGCTTCTTATCAATCAGGCTTTTGTATACATGTTTTCTTTAGAATCCAATCAAAATCAAAAGAATAGGACCTGTGACCTTCTAATGATTGTTAATAATAGTAATGATAATAATGATAATTATAACAACAATAATAATGATGATGATGATGGTGGTGGTGGTTATGATGACAATGATAATTATCATAATAAGAATGATAATAATAATGATAATTATATTAATAATAACAATGATGATGGTGTCCATTTGTATAACACAGCTACTGAACACATGTACTCTACTGAGAATAATACAAAGTATCTTATTTTTTCCCTGGCTGCATGGAACTGATGCACACTTTATATTGTGTGCTTGAAAAGTAGGGCAACTTGTGCTGTAAACAGACTGGGCCAAAGCATGTTTACATATCAATGACTCTAAGCAGGAGCGGATCTAGCTTTTTGCTAAGGGGGGGAGGGGGTTTGACCCAATGACGATGCGATGTGGAGCATTTTCCACGAGCGGTGAGCCAATTTTTTGTTGTTGCTATTTTGAACCCCTGTAAGTAGGTATCACAGAAGAGCTGCGTTGAGTGGGGACACGCAGAGCTCAACCACGCAAATTCTCTCTTTATTAAGGAAGATTTTCATATCATGGAAAAAATAAATATTATAAAATTATATGTCTCTCGAAAGCTCAGGATTCTGTCTTTCATGTCCTGTCATTTACATCAAAATCCATCAATTACTTACGACACAGTTGCTTGTGATTTACCCTCTAATTCGTACCGTGTCACATCGTTTGTCACCATTTTTATTTGATCGCCAATTTGCATCACTAGTTTTAGCTCAATGCGCTTGAACGCCATTTGTCTTTGAGTTTTAAAAATCCACTGGTTGGAAAGAGCACATCTTAAGCTTTATTTCCATATAAAAAATGATGGGGGTATGTTTCAAAAAGATCGTGAAAAATCAGAGTGAAAAGTTTGAAACAATTTTTCTATATCAGAAAAACATACTTTTAATTCAATTTTGATACGAGAAGAAAAAGAATTTACTGGAGAATACGATCATGTAAATATTAAGAATGACCGCTAATTGGTGCTCGAGTGCAAATCCAATGAATACAGCTGTACCCTGACACATTGAACATGACGGACAAAGAAAGCTGACAAAATATACAGTTCCTCAGGTAGACAAAGGAACATCCCTTCACTGCTGTTATGTAAAAATGTGTAGAACAGGTGAATATGCATGTGACACCTGTTCTACACATTTTTACACAATAGCAGTGAAGGGATGTTCCTTTGTCTACCTGGACTTCTTGAAGAGTTTAGAGCCATTTTCAAATGCCATTTAAAATTAATTTAAATGAATTTGATGGTTCAAACTTACAGAAATAATTAATCTATATATATACCCCAGATATACCGAAATTCAGCCCCTCTTGATAGACACTCTTAAATCTAGCTATGTTTCAAAACCCATGAAAACTTGTTCCGGCGAAGCAAAAATAGCCATTTGTCACACGCAACAAGATGGGCTTCATATAATTATTTGAAGAAAAATTCCACAAAAAAAAATATTTGTCAAGAGAACCTGAAAAAATATAGGCATGTAGAAATCCATACAGAAAACAGATTTCTAGAAAAGAAAGGTGATTTATCAATTAATTACAAAATTATATCACCTTGAAAATGGCTAATTGTCAGTTATAGCCTAATTACGCAAAATTTGACCATTTCGTCTCTTATGTAAGTGGCCGTATTTTCAAAAGTACTTATTTAAATTTGACAAATGAGGTATCAAAATTCTTCTTTTCATATGCTCAAAAAGGAAATAGGCAGGGGAAGTGAAATTTAGAAACTTTCAAAAGTTAGCTGTGATACCTACTGTAAGTGATGTTTTTTCCTGGCATCAATTAACACAATGGAGACCATAAAATGCAGTGCATGATAACGTCTTTTTGAAATTTCAGCGTTTTTCTATGTACGTCACATTTTCACTTGCCAGCCCAAGGGAAGGGGGAGGGGGGGGGGGGGCTTATGCCCGCAGACAGCTGTAGAGAACCAACCACAAAATACAAGGATTTCTGAATTACTATGATGCATGCTCTGAGGGCCTCAAGGCGGCCTATCCGAGCCTGAAGTTAGGTGGCCCCGCAGACAGCTGTAAAGAACCAACCACAAATCAATCCGTCAAGAAGAGTTGGGCCTTGATGGATCTTTTTTATATTCCTCCTTTGTCCCATAAGGTTTTTTGAATTACTATGACGCATGTTTTGAGGGCCTCAAGGCGGCCCATCCGAGTCTGAAGTTAGGTGGCCCCGCAGACAGCTGTAAAGAACCAACCACAAAACAATCCGTCAAGAAGAGTTGGGCCTTGATGGATCTTTTTTATATTCCTCCTTTGTCCCATAAGGTTTTTTGAATTACTATGACGCATGTTTTGAGGGCCTCAAGGCGGCCCATCCGAGTCTGAAGTTAGGTGGCCCTGCAGACAGTTGTAGAGAACCATCTAAAGAACAACCTGTCAAGAAGAGTTGGGCCTTAATGGATCTTTATTATATCCCTCCTTTGTCCTACAAGGATTTCTGAATTACTATGACGCATGCTCTGAGGGCCTCAAGGCCGCCCATCCGAGCCTGAGGTTAGGTGGCCCTGCAGACAGCTGTAGAGAACCGACCACAAAGCAACCTGTCAAGAAAAGCTGGGCCTTAATGGATCACTGTGTCAATGGTATGAACTATTTCACCAAGGAGAAAGGCGTTAGGCTGGACTATATCTCCCTGCATCTTAAGGTATTGATCATGATAACATAATACACACTACTCCAACATTGGCTTAGTTAAAAAGCCCAAATTGCACAAGGTATAATTCCTAGGTGTTAGCACCACATACCCTCGTAAGAAAACAAAGCAATAAGTATGTAATGTAATAAGTAGGCAATGAACAACTCCATGTATATTGGAAACTCATAGGCCAAGTGGTTATTATTTGTTTAAAAAATCAGCCTCCTTTGGTTTCCTTTTTCTCGACATCCATTTCGGAAAGAACAAAACTTGACTAGAATGAATTTTGTATGCCCGTATTTTAAAAAAATCTGTACCGATAGTGCTGGCTTATTGTTCAAAACACTTTCAAGCGATTAACGAGGCTCCTGTATACTTCTCCCTGTCTTTCCTTTCTCTAAATATTATTTTCAGAGGTTGTTTTTGTAATGGTTTAGTTTTGACCAGTGTTGTTTTTGTTTTTTTCAGGGTGGAGGTGCATCGCTGTCAATTCTCTCCCAAGAGCTTGCCAAGATATCAGAAATTCAGTTAAAGCACCCTTCTTTAACAACGACACCATTCTACAATGAGTAAGTATGATAATATTCAAATAGGGACTGCTTTAAAGGGCTTGATTGAGATTATTGCTCAAGGCGATTTAGAAAGTGTGTTATTTGTGCCGCAAGACTAAGTCATGGGAGCTAACACAATCTACAGGCCACTAAGGGCTATAGTTTTTAAACCCTTGACCTACTGAATATGTAGTCAATATATGCATTTGGCATTCAAATCCATAGAGTGAAGATTTGGTGATAATCCTTTCATGAAGAAAAAAATGGTATACTGGGCATTCTTGGTGTATGATGCAATTGGATGCAATGGACATGCCTATTAAATCTGCAGTGCCTCATGAGAAAAGTCAACATCACTAAGTCAGAAATGGCAAATTTCAGGGCTTTGTGTGCCTAGTTACAGTACATTTCTTTTAAACAATTCATATCGCATATTTTCTTGTGATATTTGAACAATTTTCATTGAATGTTGTTATTGTTTTTGTTTTAATCTGTAAAGCCTCAGAATACTATTCCCACGTATCCTAACTTAAAAATTTGGAGAAATATCTGTGACTGAAGGCCGTACAGTGGGTGAAATGACCGTGCCACAACACTGCCACAGTACCGCAGAGTTGATGTCCACCCCAGCAATTTCTGTGGCCTCTGATAGGTAACGCACCGTGTTGTGAATACTGAGAATTGCAAAGTAAATGTTGTTCTAGGGACTCAATCAAACACTTTAGACTCTTTGTTTGATAGTGAGGCTGATCCCCTGGTGAACTGGAGCAGGCCGGAATGGTGGAGAGCAGACGCTGCGTATGCTGCCATCGTTGCCAAGGTAATTCACCCTTAAAGCCCCACTGTCCTACTTGTAGCTACTTGCTCCCTCTATATAGAAAACTTCCCCAATTGGTGCCTGTTGGTCCCCCATGAGCTTCTATTTCTTATGTTATTTGAGAGCTGAGTTGATGAGATAGCCACTTGTCAGTGACCTGGATGTGTGGTATAATCCCTCCTGGCCAAACTAGTGCAGATAAGCTTTAAGTAAAGCTAAAGAGGGTTCTCAATAACAAAAGTTCCTGACATGAATGAAAGATTTCTGGAAAAATATATTTTTATCATCCTTTTTCCTTATCTGTATGCTGTCTGTTTTTAATATTCCATGTATGTCCAGCTATAGTTAAACATGAGGTTCTTTCTTGTCGTTTGCCTTTTTTTTAGATCATTCTTCAACACCAGAATAAGATGATTAGAGAACACACGGACATCAGCTATGAGCTCCTCAGCAACGACAATGGGTTCCTCAACTGGCACCCCAACTACTTCGACCAGCGCACCCTTGTCACCCGCTTCCAGATGAACGAGACGAAGCCCCCTAGTGTTCAGACCATCAAGAAACCTGTCCTGAGCATCATGGGATTGCTCTCTCTCCTCGGAGAGCAGCAGGTGGAGGTTGATGACCTTTCATATCGTGTCAAAGGTCAGAATGGATCATTGTCTGTGTTTCAATGACTTTTCGTATCAGGTCAAAGGTCAGAATGGATCAATGTCTGTATGATGTAGGTGGGGTTTGAAAAAAACGTTTGCTCTTCATCATAACTTAGAAAATATACCAGATGGAGGTCAGTGACCTTCCATATGGGGTCAGAGGTCAGCATGTGTATTTTTTTTATTTTGAAGATGTGACCTTACTTGCTCTCTATCATAACTTGTAAGCTTAATAATTGTAATCTTACTCTTTTACCTTGGTCTCTCAATGGTAACTGTCTTTGCAAATTTCATATGTAACTGTTGGAGAGATTTGAACAAGCTTTTATCCTCTATCTCCATTTCTCTAGGTATATGTCATTTCTAAAGCTTTTTATTTGATGTCAATTTATAAAATACTTTGATATTTTCTTGTAGGAGGAGCAGTTTCAGCTGGAGATGTTGATGTCCTTGCTACCATCCACACTCCAACTCAATCTAGAGGATCTGACAGGTGTGTTCATTCTGCTCTATCTTTGAACCCAGTTTTTTGTAGTTGTCGCTTTTATAACATTTTCTTTCTATTCAGAAATCTTTTTATCTATTTTTAACCTTTCTTTAATCCTGAGGAATTAATGTCCTTTGGCGATACATTAATCTACATTTGCCACTCTCCACCCAGGTGTTAAATGTGTACTGGTAGGAAGAAATTCCTTGAAGGCTGTGAGCGCCGAAATCGGCAGCCTAACAGAGCAGGGTAATATTTGTAGCGCCTTGAGCACCTTACATGGTGGATTTGTGCGCTATATAAATATCCGATATTATTATTATTATATTATTATATTATATTATTATTGTTAGAAGACAGTTAAAAATACTTTGCAACATCCCCATTCCATGTGATTAGGATTATAGGGTCTGTCGGAGCCTGAAGGGTGTTACCGGTAACTCTTTGTTGAATGATATGCTAATGCCCTTCTGGCTTTGAAGAGACAATGTTGTCCACTCCAAAAATCTGCAGCACATTCAATATGCATTATCATCCAAGTTTGAAGGCAGAATTGAGAATGCATTTAGAAGCTAATAGTTTAAACATATTTGTGGCTTACACCCAGTAAATAAGATTGATTGATCGATCTGTAATTGAAAAACAAGTCAGAAAAAATCTTGGAACCAGCGGGATTTGAACCTGCCATCTACTGCTTGCTGGGCAGCGACTCTACCACCAGGCCATCACTGGTCCATGGCACAGTCACGATGAACTTGAAACGAATACCCAAGCTCTCTTGATTCATTCTGACTTATTAATATTCATTAGTCCGCCATAGGACAATAACTTTTTTAATTTTTTTATAAATGTAATGCTTCCTGGGAGAAATTTCAATAGTTTAAACATATTTGTGGCGTACACCCAGTAAATAAGATCGATTGATTGATCTGTAAATGAAAAACAAGTCAGAAAAAATCTTGGAACCAGCGGGAAGAAGCTAGTTAAAATCAAATTTGTCTACTGCGTGTTACTTTTAAAAACAATGTTTGTTAGGTTATTTATTTACCTTCCTGTTTTCCTATTTCAGTTGGCAAGCTAGTATCCTCATACACAACAGTGCAGACACAGATAACGTCACTGGTACTGATAGCATTCAGCTTGAAGTCGGTGGTGTCAACCCAGCTCTTACAACAAATGTGGCAGGTAAGAAGATGATTTTCAAGCATCCCTAGTTGTGTGTGTCCTTTGAATATCTTGATTAATTTACTTTTATAATACTTTCTAGATGACTTCCATATTTGATTTGATTTGATTTGATTTACTTATTTCTGTTTTGATTTTCTTTTTCTTTTGCATTTTTACAAATATATAACAAACAAACATTTCAAATTTACACATGACAAAAGAAAATATGTAGAATAAAATAAGGCTGGCTGTACTTAATAGAAAACATCAAACAGAAGGATTGAAAAAGTAAGCAAAGCTTGATAGCATGACTATCCTCAAAGGATACATAATAATACAAATATGGAGGAAAAAATATTGGTAAAAGGGGAAAAAAGAAGAAAAAAGATTCACATATTTTTTCTGCTCCAATTCTATGTAAAAATAGGTAACATGAAATGAAATGTAGAGTCAACCGCAATTCATGACATGACCAGTTTCATGTCATATGTCGTTTTAGAAATTTAAGTCGCAAAGTTTATGTCATTGACTGCAAGCATGGTACCTCTTTGGTAAAATAGCGTAATCATGTAGATTATGGAACGTGTACTAATATGAAATTCAGATAAAAAGTGATTTGCAGCTCACACTAATTTCATTTTTGTTTTGTTCTTCCCCTTCAAACTAACAATCAAAGACTTAGCTGGTGACCTGGTTTATGTTGAATACCTTCTTGATAATGCACATGGAAATCCCTCAGCCTTCTGGAGAAAGTATGATTCACCAGTCTATCCTACCAGACAGCAGTTCAAGGAGATGAGACAAAACCAGGTGCACTTTATAATTCCTTCTTGCAAGTCTGAAATATGCATGTTTTCAGTGAGTTCGGATAAAGAAATGCCATGAAACCAAATAACTTATCATAGTAGCCTTCCCTGCAATTTAATGAGATTCATGATCAGAACCAAGTTTTTTTCTCCCTTTTTTGAAGGTAGTCAAATTACATGGTACTAGTAGGAATAACTATTAATTTCCTACCTTTGATATCAGATCTTCTACAAATAATTTCATTATTATCATTCATTGATTGGTGTACATTTTTTTACAAGCTTTGGTATCAAATCTTCGACAGACGCTTAATGTTATATAATCATCATTGATTAATCCTAAAGTTTTGTTTCTTTGTGTACATTAGGAACCAGTTCGAATTGTTGGACCACAGACATTCACCCCTCCAAGCATGACATTCAGTATTTCACTCAACAAACCAGGAGTCATCCTCATCCATATATGTGCTAGATCTGCATCACCTCCTGAAAAGGTAATGGTTTACAGTGTGTTTCTTCTTTTAAAAACTTGATTTTTTTTTCTCCCCCCATTAATCGAAAGATAAATGATTGTGTCGTGATAAATTTGTGTTAGGCATGTTGATCATCCTCTTGTATATGGTATCATTTTTTGTTGTTGTTGTTTCATGTGTGAATGAAGATATGAATGAATATAAAAGGTTGAAATGGGTAATTTCAAAACTGGTTTGCACACAGAATAAGCCAGTTTGTTGATACAATCTAATATGTGCATGGGCAGAATTAAGGCCATTTATACCATTTTTGAAAAACCCACCAAAAGGATTGCTAGAAACATGCTCATGAAAGTTAGTAAAAATCATTCATTTATTTACTGCCATCTTACTCTGATACACTGGTGGAATTGTTCCTCTCAAGAGGTATTCATGAAGGACCTTCATCACTTTGGCAGCGATTTTTCTAGAATGCACAAAGTGTAATTTCCATGTTTAGAAGATGTGTGGATGTTTTGGGAAATTTGTGCCATGTCCTAACTACGAACTGGGAGTGTTTCACAAAGACTATTAAAGCTTATCTGTACTAGAGAGATTAGACCAGACTGCAAGGTCACAGGACAGGTGGTTATCTCATCAACTCAGCTCTCAATTAACAGAAAAAGAGGATCATGGGGGACCAATGGTCACCATTTAGGCATTGTTTTCTATATAGATGGAGCAAGTCTTCGGACTTGTTGACAAGTAATGAATAAAACCTTATTTGAACTTGAACTTGAACTTGAACAAGTAGCTACCAGTAGGATAGTGTGGCTTTAAAGATCAACTTAGTTGGACATGAACTATGGCTGGCTGTTCATGCCACTGGTTGCTCTCACCATTGGTCTTTCAAGGGATGTGCAAATCGTGGTTAAAAATCTACACAATTGACAATTATGTAAATTTAAGTTCTCTTTAAGAATTGGACTTTTACTATGGTAGGCAAAATTTGAGGAAAAATATCAAATAAGTTACGATCCTTTTTCTTCCTAAACTTCTCATAGGTAACAGGTCTACACCTTCATCAGTACACCCCATCAGATGTTCTAGTGATCTGGGATGATTCTAATATCACAACTCGCTGTATACTTACCTATGAAGCCGAGTATTCTTCCACAGGGAGTGAGGGAACATATAAGCGAATCAACGCCGTCGATCTCATCTTCACTGCATTTGTATATTCACCTGATCAGGAAAAGAAGGGTAAAACAATCATTCATGACTTATATTTATATTACATTGATATGAATATTATCTGTGTGAATTTATTCTTTTAAGATTCTTTTTGGGAACCTGTTTCTACAATTTTGATATACCAAATATTATTAGAGTGCTTATAATCTTATTCAACACTAAACATGTTAATTCTCTGTAGTTAATCATTTTCTTTTTAATGTTGCTCTCTTCAGGTGCTTCAAGTCTCATCAGTGGCTGGTATCGTGTGAGGGCGGTAGACTACTGGAATCGAGTCGGGCTTTATTCTAATCCCATACAACTCCAAACCCAAACTCCATTTACCTGAGCTTTGCTCAACTCTATCCTTTTACAGTACATATTTGATGTGCATCTAACATTAAATTCTCCATTTTTAACAAAGAAATTTCCAGGAAAACATTAAAGGAAAACTAATCACTTGTTTAATGGCAGATTTTCTTCAGAATATATGATATATTAATATACATATGTATTGTATAGAATTATAACTCATCATGTTAACTTTTTTCAAGATATTTACATTTGTTGTTTATTTTTGTATCTAAGAGAGTAAGACTTCATCATGATAAAATGTTCATATTCATACCTGCGAATGTTTTGTATTGGATTTTAACTCATATTTATTTTCTTAAGATTTGTCCCTTTTTATCCATTAATAGCTTAGATGTGGACATGGAAATATATTCATGAGAAATAAGTACTTATAAATAAAGTGTAGAAATGAAAACGACATTTAGAAATGGCAATTCCTTAGGCTGAAAGAAGTGACTATATATTCATATTTTTTCAGTAAATTAGATTAGAATAGATCTTTTGGGATGATATATGAGATGCCCGGTCTTATAAAAAGTTGATATCAATCGCAACTATGTACACAAGAGATAGGAGACTGCAAACTTGCGATTCATTTGGATCGATCGCAACTCTTTATAAGACGAGACCCAGGTAACACATGTATATTACAAGCAATATAAGTTATATAATTATGTGGATTGATATGTGAAAGGGTGATAACTAACATAATTGTATGCTCTTTTGTCTTTCCGCAACTTGTAATATATACTCGTCTATCTGTTACACAAAGAATGGCAACGATTGATTCCAGCTGTACGAATGTAAATCGGATAGGACGTAAAATGGAGGTCCCGTGTAGAGAAAAGTCACCACCTTTGCACGTTAAGAACCCACTGCACTATTTGTATAAGAGTCGGGGGAAAGCCCTGTGTAGTGGTCCACCTCCACACACCCCCAGTATAGTATGATAATACTCTGTAAAGAGGTATGTACTCAAAATGGAAGAAGAAGAAGAAAGGTATTTGTTTATGTTTAATTGAAATGTAACAACTAGTATTGTATGCTTGGAGTGGTTGTTTTAAATTACAAATACAAGCTTATAAATGACCATCACAAACATTTTCATTAACTTCAATTTATGTTTTCTTCATTTTATGAAGCACCTCAACATCTATTATATTATTGATAAATACATGCAATAAAAGTGTGACTCTCATAACTAGGAACGTACTCATTCATTGTTCTTGCAATTTAATATTTACAACATTTTTTAAACATATATATTTAAGCCTATGAATTTTTGTTACATGTATTTACATCTGCTGTTTACCCATTTGATTCTTGGTGTACTTTCATCAATACTTTTGTACTGAAATTAAAATTATTTTCAAGTAAAATCTGATATTGTGTATTGTATGTTGAATAGATGGAAAGTATGATTTATTGGTCTTACTCTCTGTATGTAATGGTCCAGTCAGCTATTTCATGTGCATTTTGTATAGGCCGACTCCTCCCAATTTACCACTACTTCACCCCGATGAAACCCCCAACACTAAAAAAAAATAGTTATTAGCCCAGAATCGTGAAACAGGACTATATCTACTTGGAATAAAAAAAAAAATTTTTTAATAAAACGTCCCGTCGGTTTGATGAGAGCTTTGGTAGGCCTACCTAGTTGTGGGATCATAGGCCATAAAGAAACCATCAAGTTCACTTAAAGATACAGTTGAAACTCATCTTAAAGAGTTGTGATATATTGCTTGCCCTATAGCTCTGTATGATTTTTTTTTTATCTAGCTGATGTAACAATGTAACACGGTCCCAACGTCTTTGTGATATTTTCTACTGTACTTGAGGCTGGTGCAGATACGCCCCGCCAAAACACCAAAATACTACCTAAATCAAATCTGTTAGCCTTAGTAGGTCTATATGGAGAATTTATGGAAGAAAAAAGGTATTCTGATCGATTACTAATTTTGTTCTCGGCCAATGGCCCCCAATGGTTGGACTTTGATATTCTTAATTGAAAATGATGAATGCCCAAATTCTGCCGATAATAATTATAAAGATAGGGTCTAATCAGGTGCGTACGCAGGATTTTTTCAAGGGGGGGGGGGGGGGGGGGGTTTTAACATTTTCAAATCGGGCCCATAATTTCGCACTCGACTCAGCCAGCCGCTGAATAAGTGTGGGGGGGGGGGGGGGGGGGGGGGGGGGGTAAGAGGACACCTTTTTTTTTTTTTTGGTCTCGAAATTTGAAAATTTGACATTTTGCTTCTTTGGGGGGGGGGGGGGTAAGGTCACCTTTTTTAGGTCAGCCATGGGAATAAAAAAAAAATTATTAAAAAAAAAAAAAAAAAAAAACCAAAGGGGGGGGGGGGTTTGGGTTTTTTTAGGGGGGTTTATACACATAAAAATACCAAAGGGGGGTTTAATCCCCCAAACACCCCCCCCCCCCCTGCGTACGCGCCTGGGTCTAATAGTCTAATAGATCTAATAATAATAAAGTAATAATCATGATAATCAGAATGAGATACAAGAATACTAACACCACGATGATCTACTACTAATATATTTTTTCCCTTCTATAATTAGACCCTACAGTAATAATGAGTTATGTTAGTGAGATCGAGGGCCAGGGAGAGAGATAGTGTGTGTGTGTGTGTGTTTTTTTTTGGGGGGGGGGCTGCATGACGCAATGTGATGAATGCTGAAGAGATACAGCGAGCGAAAGTAAGAATTTCCCGCCATTTAGATTTTGTTTATTTCGTGAAAGCGCGGGAATATGGAAACGAAGTTTGATTGGAGGAATGATTCAGGAAGGCGTGGTCGTGGAACTTCTTTGCATTTTCATTGGCCGATTGTCGTCTAGTTTGGCGCGCCGAGGCCTGTGAAGCGCGCGCTATGCTTGCATGTATAATTAATTGAGGTCTTGCGCAAGTTCAGCACACCTGTTGTTAAATGCCAAGAACTTGGGTCAAGACCAGGGTAAGTTTGGCTTTTTTTTTTAAAGTAGATCTCTTTTTCTTCTGTTTTAATTTAACCAGTAATGGAATATTGGAAATTAGTAGTTGAATCTAGGCAAAATAGATAGTCTGATACTTTATAGACATGAGACCTTGTTCACTAATTCGATTTGCATTTTCATATTCAAAGTCAAACTTGCATCGTTCGCCGAGTCGGATACGAACATGCATGTACGCAGATCACGAGATGTGCAACGGGGTGATGCGGGGATGCTGCCCCATCGTCAGCCGGCAACATGCGCTGGAGCATATGCTTGGATGATACAGAGGTCTACCGTCTAGGCTACAGTGTCTAGGCCTATCTAGTTAACTGTTAATTGAAATTGGTGGATGCAGGATTAAGCCTCTTACAAGAATAGATATAGCCTAGATCTAGGCTAGGCTTAAGTTGATAATCTATGGAGTTGTATTTCTGTCCTCGTTTTAAGTAGGCCTGGTCATGACCGGGTAGATCTAGGCCTAGACAGTCTAGCTACTTCATCTAGGTCGGTGTCGAAAACTAATTTGTGAAGTGTGAGTGTGAGTTACAAGTTTATACAGTAGGGTCTAGACTAGGCCTACTTCTACTTCTATTCTGCTAGGCCTACTTGTCAAAGCCTGTTCAGCATCTAGACGAGGGTGATCTTCTGCCGACGGTGGACGGCTTGTGTGAATTTGTGCCGAAATATAGATCTAGATCTAGTCTATAGGCCTAGATCTAGATCTAATAAGTTAGATCTACTAGCCTAGGGTCTACATTATGGTGCAAGTAAAATGATAAAAAAATAATGATGATGCTGTGACTATTCGCAGCTGATGGCTTCCTTGAACTGCTTCAATGTGGGCAGCTCAATGATATTTGTAGGAAGCCCATCCCAGTCTTTCATGGTGCGAGGAAAGAAGCTGTAGGCTAGGCCCTATTTGTAAGTAGAATCGGAGAATGTACCAAGTCTCATTCTCAGACTTTCCAAGTAGTCTAGATCTAGGCAGAAGACTGAAGAGTCTTACTCTGATTCTCTGAGTCTTAGTCTTAGACTTTACTATGACTTGGTTGACCTTAATTTGCTTTTATTTGATAGACTATAACTAGTCTAGGCTAGGTCTACGTAACTCGTAAGACTTTTTCAATTTATTGAGCCTGTTTTGGCAGGCGATCGCTAAAATAATTTTCCTCATATTCATCATAAGAAATATCAATTGATATTGAATTGATGATGGGTTGTTCTCTCTTTCCTGCTCATCAGTCATCACTTTCTCAGGCCCTAGATCTCTGACTTATGAGTATGAAGGGGTGACCAAAGTTCGCGGACATTTTAGAACATATTACAAAATGTGATATTCGAATTACGATTTCTCATATTCTACACAAATTTATTGATTTCAATTATAACCAAAGGGACGGCGAAGTTTTTAACTACAGATTAGTTCAACTAGAAAATGTTATCGTCGAAGGATTTCAGAGATATCGCGATCTAAAAATTTGATGTCCGATCGTTCGTGCGCGCTGCATCTAAAAAAGTCATAAAAACAACGAGACCTAACTTCACGCAGGGGGGTTTACAGTTGATTTATCAAAAAGTGTGATCCATCAAAAATAAGGTAATATCATAATTTGCAAGGCAAGATATCATACAATCAGTTAGTACCACTCTTTACTTACAATTTTGAGGAAATCTGCTCTCAAATTGAAGATTTTCAGACCCTTATCGGTAAGTTGATCATTTTTCGGAGTGGACGCAAAATATTGCAAAATTTGCCGATCTTTTGTCAATATTTTCACAATTTCGTACCCAATTCCAAAGAAAATTTCAATTCTGGGTGATTTTATGTTCCTCTTTCCATTGGTGATATCAGATTTTCGTAATCTTACTGATTTTTTGAGATAGCGAACTTAGGTCACGCGCGAACTTTGGTCACACCACCATAATGAGTAGGCTATGACTTTTTTCCCTCCTTTTTCTAGATAAGTTGTCCACAATTTGTCGACCAGTCCCAGATCTAGGCCTAGATCTAGGCCTACACCAAGTTGCAATTAGTTTATGTTACCTGTACAACTACACGGCTTAGCATCTTATTTTTCGATCAGGTTTTAATAAAAGTCTTCTTTTTTTTTTAGCACTTAAATAAGGGATCAAGCACAAACTGACAAGACAGTCTTGGACGGAGCAGCCATGTTCTATTCTCATGACATTCTGCAGAAGAGAGGGGGCAAGTTTGGCATCATTTGGTTAGTATTATTCACCAACAAGTAGAACAAAACAAAATCATAAATTGATCTTCATCGCAACATTTTGGCTCTCTTTTGTAAAACCTGTAACAACTGCTACAATTCTATAACATACTTTTCCAGAGCCAATCAAATACCTGGATTACAGTACTTGGCTTAATGTACATCAGTCCTTGTTATCTAAAAGATTTTTTTTTTTAATAGCTGGGGAGGGGGAGTTTTTTACTTTATAACTAT